TACGAGGAGGCGGCCTGGCGCACGGCGGGACGGGCGTAGGCCGCGGGTGGGGAGAAAGCGGAGGCGGCCGAAGGATAGGGGCCCTTTTAGCCATTAAAAGAAGGGGACGGTCCCCCGAGGAGAAAAGAGCAGGCGGAAGGAGGGAGGAAGGCAGGTGGAAGAGTTTTAAAAAACAAACTGCCCCACTACCACTAAAAGTGAAAGCCCCGTAAGTGGCAGCAGTGATACGTTCTCGTGTTGGATAGCGCAGGCTCGAGGGGCACAAGCCGCCTACTAAACTACATGAAAAAACACAAGCAACACTTCTTAAAACTTTATTGATTTACCACTTGATTAAAGCATGGAATATTATAACAGTATTATACATAGTATTTTCATGTAGAAAACTTTACATATTTTTTTTCATATTATATAATTTTGGTATTCTCTCAAAAATGTATACACCCACTGGGCAAGGAATGCTCTTTAAATTACTGATATTAAATGCACTTAATATGGAGATCTTCAAAAAACTTAGGCATTTTAAATATGTGAAAACATACATTTTACACAGAAATAACATTAAAGGTGCTGAACAAACTGAATTTACACTTTTGACAGAAAAAAAAACTTAGTTCCACTTCATACTAAAAATTACTATTTTTAATCTTTTCCATAGCGAGATTGAGCTAAAATTTGGTGGGGGGTTGTATTAGTGGATGTCAGTTTAGATTGTTCTGTTTACAGTTTGGAAAGTGAGATGAGACATGGATAACAAACCTCTGTAAAAATAGTATTTTCTTGTACTGTAAAGACAATAGAATCAACATGAAATAGAGTTTTTAGGGTTTTCCTCATTAGCATCCTCCCCCTGCCTACTTATTTCCTACAGGGTTCCAAAAGAAGAAGTAATAACAAATATCATGCAGTCTCCATATTTATACCATTATAGGTAAATCACTTTATAGTTTAATTCCTTGTATAACACTACTTTAGAAGTCTAAGAGGTTACTTTTTTTATTACTGCATGTATTGCACAGGTGTCTCGATCTCTACTAGTCTATGCTGACACAGAACCTTCTTCTCATTCCTAGTTCCACCAAAGCCAACAAAACCACCACAAGCGGATAAGGTCTATGTCAGCAGAGTCAGGACAAGATTGGAACCAGCAGTGACAACTGCAGTTTTGGCTCAGCATTTTTAGGTTCATTAAGATGTCTGTGGGGTATGATCTTTCTGACTGTATAAGGGAAACCAAACAGCTGATGTGAATACAACCCTTTCAGGTATTACACTTAACATACCATTCTTATTGCTTTAACAGGTACAATCAAATGCAGAAAATTGACGGGATTAAGGCTGTTATAATCCAATTGCATTCCAGTCCCCCTTCTTCACGCACTACAGAGTCTAGGATGTTTTGATGTCACATACCTAATTTCAGCAGTTTATAAATGGTGTAAATACAATAAAAGCTTTACTAAGTAAAAGAACAGTCTCAGAACAAAGGCTGGAGGAAAGGATTGATTAAAGGCCCTTATTCTATATGCAGAGATAGTACAAATGTTGCACATTACAGTCAAGAAAGCCCACAATGCTTCTGTAAGGTAATTTAAGATCTGAAAAATAAGAGACTTGTTTCAAGACATGAGTTGTAAGGCTTTCAAAACTGTAAAACACAGAAAAAGCATGCAACTTTAAAAAATTTGTGTTTTGATAGGAGATAAGGGTATACATTCAGTGAGGCAGTGACACCTTCAAAATCTAATAAATAAAGTTTCAAATAT